ACATTGAAACTGCTAGCTCTGCTTAAAAACAAACGCACACAAATCACCATTGGGTACAGAAACAGGATGAGACTACAATCTCTGCACAGAGTATTGGTAATCTCTTAGTTTTCATGAAGGTTCCTCCTAAGAGTCAGTATCAAGAGGCCAGGAAAACCTTGACTGGAGTGTCGGGCCAGGGAGGGGGGTTAAACCCACCTTCCCCCAAGTACAAAGGTATTCTGCCCTGCTAAACTGACTGTCCATGGACTGCAGAGGTCTTTAGAGCTGCCAGCTACCATCCCACCGGATGCTTGGCTGTTATGCCATCCTGGTGAGGAAGTGACACCTGCTGCTTTTCCATGGCATAGTACATTGGGCAGCAGATTTTTCAGTGGTTACAGGTCTAGAAGTTCCACATTAAAAAGAAGTTTGACTTTTTTTACTTGACTGTTTATGAAGAAAAGGTGGCCTCAAAGATGCTTTGTGTTTGGTTTCATCTTAGACATACCAAGACAGGCTATCTGTGTGTTGGTTGTGCTGCATGATTTCTTGGAGGCTTGTGATGCATTTTGCACTGAAGGAATGGGATATTTAATATTAATCTAGGATTTTTTGCTCCCAAATGCTGCTCAGCTATTTGAGAGTCTGATTAAAAAGCATTCTTTCATTGAATTGTAGTTCTGATGTATTGTTCTTATCAACTTAAGCTCATCGCTGCAGTATCAGGCATCAGTGAAACCCTGCTGAAAAACACATTAAGACAAAGCAGCACCTTTTTTCAGGCTGCTTTTATGCATGGCAGGGAAGAAGGATGTATGACTGCAATATAATTTTCATGTAGAGATCACATTTTATTTGCTGCAGTGAAAGTTCTGAAAATTGGATTTGGAATGCGCCACGGGGCTACAGCAAGAAATTTGTAATTGAGAAAGCTTGTGATCAGCCCACAATTTCAACTTGGAGTGACACACTGGATTTGGAATGATGTATGCTGGCATAGTGAAAAATGACTTGCAAACTTGCAAAAGCATCTAATATTATACTTAAGGGTTGTTGCCATTAATGGTGCTTTTTATATCTGTGGAAACTCACTGACTTGCCCCAAACTCCTCTGGCTGTTGGCACCAATGGATACACCGGATAAATCATATTTTACTGTCCGAGCACTGAAATGCATGTTGCACTGTAAAAGGAACTGACTAAAGATTATGTCATTATGTTTCCACTGAAAGGCTTATTATATAAAACCAGCACAGCTTCATGTTTTCACTGAATAGCATATTATATAACACTGCACAGCATGCTCAATTGTATTATTCATTGCCTTTTAGAATATTAGCACTCTGGTTGTCCAATTGTGTTGCCCCAAGACGCACATAATACATTGTATTTTCAAGAGTAGTCCTAGTACTCTGTGCCTATGTAATAGTAGGTGTGTTGTGTAGTTTATTTTAAAATAGCTCTAATGTATTTTTCTTAAAACAAAACCAAATATAGCCCCCATAACTTTTTGCAAAGTCATGCACAGCCTCGTTCTCATTCTCTTTTTGTAAGCACAGCTGCCTGATGTCCAGTGCTATCTGACAGCTGTTTGCTGAGTTATTGTGGATTTCTCATTCCTGCTCGTAGCAGACTTTGAGCAGTTATGTTGGTGTGATTTAATACTCTTTTCTTACAAATCCTACTGTATATACAATTTTTTTTAATATTGTTCTTCCTGCTGGAAGGTATTGGAACCTCTTATAATTTATAAGGTAAAATGTGAGATTCAGGAACATCTGTCATTCTGTGGAGTGCACTGTGGCATCCCAAACCCATGTGAAAGAGATGCATGCACAGTTCCCACAGATGTCACTGTATATCACAATAAATATTTCAGGATCTGCTGTATGGGCCTGATTTTATTGTTTGTCAGCACATCTGTGGGATGAAGATATATTAAGTTGAGGCATGTCAAAAGAGGTAGAAAGAAGATGGAGCTTTGTTGAAAAAAACAGATCCTTAATACAGATTTTTTACATGCAAGACTAGGGGTGAATAGAGGATTGAAAGTGGAGTAAAACCTAAGGCATTTTAATGCTGTTTTTATATTTCCAAAACTTACATACCACATGCATTCTATAGACTGAGTATGACATAAAATACTAGTGAAAAGTAATTGAAGGAGCTATTCTGTGGTGAAGACAATGCCTGCTGGCCTTAAAATGTTTTGTGCTTATAAGCAACAGAACTGGCTGCGCACACAGGGCACGTGCTTTTGTCCTGTGTAGATTTTCCCCCCAGGTGTATATTTCCCTACAGCTGGGTAGAGCCAGCCCACCTTTAGAAGGGCTTGGAGAGGTTTGGGTTTTTTTTGGTTTTGTCTTTTGTTGTTGTTTTTTACAGAACTCTGGATCATCCTGGCCACTGAGTACGCTCTTTAGTTCTTGAGACCACAGAATGCAAATCATGTTTTAACTGGTGCATTGACCAAATCTAGGCAACTGATTGGCCAGTCTCTCTTAAAAAGCCCTTCTGCAAAAACATACTAACTTCCCAAAGAGCTGTCTACACACTCTGCTTATTAGAGCTTCCAAGAATCCCCCCATCATGGCCACTATATTTCCTGGTTCTGGGATTGAGGGAGCAGAAGCAAAATGTTGGCTTTCCACAGTGCAAGAGCAGAGTCTGAACTTTTAAGCTTGTGATGACCTACATGCTTTAACATCATGCCAGTGTTCTCTGTTTGCATGTGTTAAGAGCTCTGTGTAAAGGAGCTGTTGGAGATCTGTCCTGTAGAAACAAACGTGTGCTACCTAGGTTTCTCATGCTTTTAAAGCTCTGCAGTTCATAAGTAATGCTGGAAGTAAGGAGGAATACATGGCCTCATTTAAAGTCTTTTTACAATTATGTTGTCAAAATATTTTGCATCCAGATCCTAGCCGCCCTGACTGTGAAGTCACGCCTCCTGATATCTAGCCTGAATCTCCCCTCTGCCAGCTTGTGACTGTTATTCCTGGTCACTCCTGGCAGTGCTCGGGGGAACAGGGACTCCCCCAGTGCCTGCTGGTCCCCTCTGACTAGTTTATAACAGGCCACTAGATCCCCCTCAGCCTTCTCTTGTGGAGGCTGAACAGGTTCGGGTCCTGTAGCCTCTCCTCGTAGGGTCTGCCCTGCTGCCC